CAGCTGGGTTCGCACTCTGGGTGCGCAAGCTTTGGCACATTTGAGCTTCGGGGGGTTGCAAATATTCGCCGAAGCCATACAGCTCCCACCGTCTTTTTTGGGGCACATCTGTGTTGCCCTTATAAGGGGCAAGCGTCTTGACAAGTTCCACCTTTCAGTCTGCTCGCAGGAGATCCACTTGGAGCGGTTGCAAGGCGAGGGTCAGTGTTTGCTTGGGTGGACTTGCCGTTGGAGCAGGATAGCAAGTGACTCATGTGACTTGCTGGTGTTTGTACATATTTGGGCTATTATCAGGAAGCTCGAAAGCAAAACCCGGTCTTGGAGTGCTGAACGTTTGCAGTGTCCTCTTATAGCAACTGTGGAGGAAGGCCCATGTCTCTTTGCATGTGCTAGCATTCCAACCATATGGTTACCCATTTTTCGCTGTCGGTCAAATTAGCGGTTCCGTTCAGCGCATCTATTCAGTCTCAAATCAAGAAAGTTCCGCTTAAACGGCTGCTGCACTTGGGTTTGGGTGTATGGGCTGTTCTCCTCACCCCGTACCCTTGCTTATCCCTCATTGAACAGTGCCTGGTATCATTTGCCATCAGCCCCCTGCTGGTGCACGGCGAGGGAAGCAGTCCCATCAAGTTCTGTTGGGACGCCATTCTGCCCCATTCTGCGCCATTCTGCATCCAGCGTTTGTTGTTGCATGAGACGCCTTGCAGCCCGTGGGCAGCCTCTCAGGATATCATGTGCCTGTTGGTTACAGGTGAATCTTTAGCAGTCGCCAGGTGTTTTCACTGTTTGTTCGAAGTTCAGGGGGAGCTCCTGCGAGGTTCTCTTGTGACCCAATTGGCGAGAGAGACCTCGCCATGAATCTATGGAACCTAATCGGGGTGCTCTTGAGGTGGTAGCGCCAAGCGCCAAATATGTCACTCCGATCCTGGAATTGGGGCGGCCCTGAGTTTCTGGGACGTGGGGGGCAGTCCTTGGACTGGATTGGGCAAGATCATCCCGGCTTTGATTTAACACCAGTTTCAAAGGTAGCACGGACGCGCGTGGCACTCTCGCCCCTGCACCTTTGCATTGGGAAGGCACTGTGGTGTCCTACAGTGCCGCCATCACTGCTTGCGCGAAGCTCGGTTGCAAATGTCAATCGACCTGTTGCTCCCTAGTTTGGCTTTCCAGATGATTTTGCTTCGTCCAAGAAGGAAGGTCTCAGATGCTGGCTTTTTATTGCTTGTCGTGTTGCTTGCTGGCTGGCTGGCTGGCTGGCTGGCTGGCTGGCTGGCTGGCTGGCTGGCTGGCTGGCTGGCTGCTTTGGGTTTGCGCTTACGTGTTTGCTCGCTTACCTATTTGCCTGCCTGCCTGCCTGCCTGCCTGCCTGCGTCCTTGCTTGCTTGCTTGTTTGCTTGCTTGCTTGATTGCTCGCTTGCTCGCTTGCTTGCTTGCTTGCGTGCTTGTTTGATGGTTTGCGTGTTTGTGTAATTGGGTGTTTGTTTGTTTGTTTTCTTGTTGTCTTATTTGTTTGCTTCTTTGCTTGCTGGTATGATTGCTTGCTGGTTACTAGCTTGCTCCTTTGCTTCTGTGTGTGTGTGTGTCTTTCTTAGTGTTTATTATTTGTGTGTTTGTCTTGTGGCTTGTTGGATTGTTTGTTTTGTTGTGCGTTTGTGTGTAGTTGCTGTTTATTTCTTCCGTCCTTCCGTCTTTCCGTTCTTCCGTTCTTCCTTCCTTTCTTCCTTTCTTTCTTTATTTCGTTATTTCTTTATTCGCTTCTTCCTTCCTTCCGCTCTTTCTTTCTTTTTCCTTCCTTCCTGCCTCTCTTTCTTTCTGTCGTTTTTTCTTTCTGTCTTTCTGTCTGTATATTTGTGTTTTTTTATTATTATTTTGAGTTACTTGGAGTCTGTTCTTTCTTTGTTGCTTTCTTTTTTGTTTCTTTCTTTTATTTAAGTCGTTCTCTTGTCCTTCTTTCGTTTTCAGTCTGGCTGTCTACTTGTTTGCCTGCCTCCCTGTCTGTGCGTCTGTCTGTTGGTCTGTTTGCTGCTAGTTGCCCCCCCCCCCCCCCCCTTCGGTTGCCAAAACTCCAGTTGGCGGTCTCTGCAAGGTTCAGTATGTGTTTTGCAGATCATATGCAAGTGAGGAAAGCGAAGGAGGGTGGCCGGGCCCTGGACCTCTTCGAACAACTGCAGCGCACGCGGCTGCAGGCCAACTTGATCGCCTGCGCCTGGGTAGCACACAAAATGATTGGTGGACAAAAAACATGTCAATCAAGTCCGCCAAGGGCCCCTGAACTCTAGCGCATGGTGTGTCTCTTGTTGGGGTACCCCTCTTAGGTGGTGTGCCAAGGACTGCTGAAAGGGAAACGGACATTTGGCGCGTTCCATTTTGGCACTGTCCCATATGTCCCAGCTTGGATCGGGTTCAATAATTATCACTTGCTAATTCAGCAAGTGAAATGAACCTGTGATCGGACTTTTATATAGGGAATAACCACGAAGTCAGTTGCTGGACCACAAGCTTTTGGATTGTGGGCACTCATGGGACTGCCTGTCTGCAAGGAACTATAGGTGACCTGTTGGCAATGTGCCAGTGCGTTGAATACTGAAAGCTATGACATGGCGAAGTGGTGCCCTGCAATCAAAGGCGAAACAAGGATAGGAACAGGATGATAACATGCTTCAAGGTTTACACAATGTTTGTTATCTCCCCACTCCTTTAAGGGATCCGGATCGTTTGCTGCAAATGGCGCTCGGGCACACCGTCTTGAGTTCTGGTATTGGCTTAAACGGGGACATGGTGTGAACTGATTCCAACGTCAAGCCGAGAGCGCGCTGACTTTTGCAAGGTGATCCGCGTGTTTCGAGTTGAACCCTCAGCTGAGTGGCCCCACTGAAATGTCCCTTTCAAAGGGTCCTCCAGCTTGTTACCTATTCTCATTAGCGAACGCAGTTGAATGACCCGCCTCCTCGATTGTGTGCCTTTCTGTTGGGTGACCCTCTCTTTTGCTTGGAGTCACAGGAATTGCAGGCAATTCTATTCCGGAGGCCAAGCATTGCGGGTCCAAATCCTCATTCTCAGAGATGTGTTTTTGTTTTTTGTGTGGATGCTGAATCGCCCGTGATTGCGTTCATGTACCCAAGGGGAAACAACACGGAGACCGGGTAGATAGCCGGTTTTTCATTGGGCGCGGTGGCCCAACGAAGGCAACAGCGCCATCGCGGGTTGCGAGTGGCGCCGGTCGCTGCATCTGCTGCGCCGCGCCAAAGCGTGGCTTCGCGCCACAGTGGCCACGGTGGACGCCGCCTTGGGCGTGGTGGGCGCAAGGCCCCAGGCGAGAAGCGGGGAGGTGGAGGGATGGGAGGGGCGGGGGGGGGGGTCGATGGGGTGGTCCATGTAGCACAGAGAAGCTAAAAAACAGCAATCCCGAAAAGAAGGCAGTTGCAAAAATAGATGCCAAAAAACAGCAATCCCGAAAAGAAGGCAGTTGCAAAAATAGATGCCAAAAAACGGCAATCCCGAAAAGAAGGCAGTTGCAAAAATAGATGCCAAAAAACAGCAATCCCGAAAAGAAGGCAGTTGCAAAAATAGATGCCAAAAAACGGCAATCCCGAAAAGAAGGCAGTTGCAAAAATAGATGCCAAGTGTCCGTAATTTGTGGGTGCTGGGAACTTGGAGTGTAGTTTGCAATCTTCTTCCGGGGGTGATGGCTTTTTAGGGTTTGAGTCTTGGGGGGAGGGACCGGGAGAAGCAGCAAAGACCAAGCATCACCCAGAGCATGCCAACATCCGAAGAAGCACGGCTGTCCAAAGGCATTCAGGTCTGGGATCACCTTTGAATACAGGACAACTCAACTTGCTCACCCAGCGCGTGAAATCACCTTCGTACCCAATGTGACCGGTCTCCAACACCATCAGATAGGTCCAAAATGTTCCAAGGAGAACATAAGAACAGGAGAACATCAATCAAGGATAAGTTGAACTTGTCTTCCCTGCCCATGCACCATCATGCCGTCATGGTCAGTTTATCTTACCAGTATTTTGAGGCATCACGTTGGCTCGCAGAGTGCTCAAATTGACTCCAAAACCGATGCAAATCTATCTGGACCCCTGGAAGTATTTGTTTTGTGTGTGTGTGTTTTGATTTTCAGAGATCAAGACAGGCCAAATGCTTTCTTTCGCTTCACCTTAGCCTGTGCATCATACCCCCTGAAGTCACGCACAAGAGGCAAGCTGATCTGAGCAAACCTTGGTCTCAAGCTTCTATGGAACCGCAGGCTGTTACCCCCGGCTGTTCGCTTCAGGCGGTGCCGCTGCTGTGGGAGGCAGAGGAAGCGGCCATCCGGAGCCTCCGCGAGCGGAATTAAATGGGCGAAAAAAAATAGCGCGCGGAAAGCGAGCTGAAGCGGCAAGGGCCCGAGTCGGATCTAGGCCGCATCTGTTTTGTTGTTGTTTGTTTGGTTTTAATGGATGGTTTGTCCCATTTCCATCCATTTCCGGGGCTGTTGGGTTATCACCCCAGGACCCAAGCGGAGGTGACTCGCCTTGGCTGTCTCAAACCCCTGCCATGAGTGTAGACATCATCAAAGATATTTGTGACCCTTGTTTTCAACCATGCGGGGGAGGGTAGCAAAAGGCACACCGTGGGAAGAAAGCACATCGGCACACACTCCAGCTGTCTAGGCTGACAGCTCATTACTGCTTGTAGGTTTAAGATTAACAGTACGCCTAGCCATTTCAATGGGGGGTTCTTATTGCCTGGTTGTAGGAGTAGTGAGGCCCTTCGCAAGCATAAGTTACCCATGTTGGAACCAAAGTCAGCCGATTTCGGGCACCTGTAACCTCACCTCTTCAGCTCGCTGGACTTAGTTTGTTGGCTAGATCCTTTTAGTTGTAAATAAGTCCGGACTTGTTTGACCAATCTGCAGGCTTTCCATTTCTTCGCTGGCAGAAAATCCGCGCAAGGCGCCAGCTATGGGGTATATGCTCATCCATTCGGTTCCCGAGATCCATTTTTGCCAG